ATGACGTGTATTCGCCGGAAAACTTGCAGTAGTCTTACTTTGGATTTTCGTTTTAGAATTGCCCCAGTTCTCGAGTTCTCGAGCCGAAGCGGGGGCCGTGGCTTTGGAGGACTTCCCAAACAGCCTATGGGCAGGGGCAAAGGCCGTGACTGACACAAGGATGCACCCAAAACCAAAAAAACAAAAAACCAAAGTTTCACGGAGAATGCCGGAACAGTTTTGTTTTTTTGGATTTTTGTTTTTTTGTTTTTTTTGATTTTTGGTTTTTTGGTTTTTACATAGCGAAATCAAAAAACAAAAAAACAAAAATCCAAAAAACCAAAAATACAAAAAAACAAAACCAAAAATCAAAAAAACCAAAACTGTTCCTGCATTCTCCGTGAAACTTTGGTTTTTTGGTTTTAGCTCTAGTGTCGTTCTGGACAGACGAAATCAGGGGTTCCGCAGACACGTGAAACTTTGGTTTTTGGCTTTCTGGTCTCAGTCTTTTGGTGGTTCCACAGATACGTTCGGAGGGCTCAAATTCGATACCCCGGAAAAAGCACGAACACGCAGGTGGGAGCGATGTTTTGAAGGGGATGGTCTGTCATGGGGGGGGGGGTGACCATATACAGATAGATGGATAGATAAATAGATACAAAATAGAACTTAAGTTATGTACGTATGTATGCATGCATGTATGCATGTATGTATGTATGTTTAGATTGCATGTTTGCATGCTTGCATGTTTGTATGTATGGCATGGCACGGCATGGCATGCCGCATGGCAGGGCATGGCATGGCATGGTATGGTATGGTGTGGTATGGAATGTATGTAAAGGCAGATAGATAGATAGATCGATAGATAGATAAACAGATATGCATATACACATGCCTGCATATATAAATATATACACGGTCTGATACTTCGTCGGTTTGTTGAGCCCTGTAGCGAATGCTCCTGCAGGCAACGGCAAGATTCACAAGGCAGACAGCCTCCCAAAGCTCCTTCAGGACAAGCCTCTTCGGATGCAAGCAGTATGTTCGTTCGTTGTACTGTTTAGGGTTTTTTTTCTCGGTTTCGGTTTTGGTGTTACGGTTTTCCAGGGTTATGGGTTTCGGAAGCCTTAAACCAGCCAAGGAACCTGGATGCTCAGCTGAAGGCGAACCTCAAGCGGCTCGAGACGCAGAAGAGGGTGGCGTTGGATGCTGAGGTTCGCACTTTCGAAGACTGCAGTACCCTGTAATATACATGTGTTCTAGTCGAATGTATTTTCAGTTATTAAGATATTAAACAGCAGATTAAACTAGAATATACGATGCTATACTTCATACTGAAACATACTGTAACATACTGCAATGTTGTGGTCCTCAGTGCAGGTTAACCCCTGTAGGCAGGTTGGGGGGTTGAGGGCTGTAGGTCCACCCCACGCCCTGTTCGAGTCCGGCTGCTCTAAACCCTGGGCAGGATTTCAGCAAGGCCGCTGACATCAAGAAAGAGATGGAGATGTTGCTGACTGCGCGGGAGCCTCCGAGACATTCTCCCAGTCTCTGAACTCTAAGCTCGGCCATGAAAAAATCAAGGTCGCAGTCGGGATGTGCGCTTTCCTTCTTTGATACCCCGGAATCCCTGTGGTCGTCACAACGAGGGTCAGGATCAGGTTGCAGTGGTGGTGGTTGTGGTGGCTGGTGGTGGTGGTGGTGGTGGTGGTGGTGGTGGTGGTGGTGGTGGTGGTGGTGGTGGTGGTGGTGTCTTTGCAGTTTGAGTTGGTGTTAACCAGAATCATCAATCCCTTTCCCGCTGCTACATGCTTGTTTCTACTACTAGCGCCATCGCCGTCGCTGTTGAACTGTAAACCCCACCCCCAGAACCGGAAACCCTCATCAGGATTGTCCGATTTGCCTGGCCAGGTAAGATGGTGATGGTCTCTGGAAGTCACATGTAACACGGCTAGCACACATAAGAGTCGTCGCTGTTCCTTTGCTGTTCTGTTCTGTCTAGTCTTAGCGTGATTGTCACTGTTGTTATCATGCTGGCTATGAGTGTCATTGGAGTAACGTTTGGTGTCATATGGCTGGTGATATATATCCTGCATACCCATAACAAGGAATATTCCAAGAGTTTAGGTCCTTAAGGTAATGCAGGGTTCATATCATCAACAGTATGAAGCAGGCCCCTATCCCCCGTAGGAGCATGTGGACTTGCACGACCTGCCGCTGGGTTTCAATGCCACCGACATCCCGCTGTCGGAGGAACGGCTGAGGGGTTTAAGATGGTTTAGGGCCTATTATGGAGGCTTAAATAATTACCTATACATACTATTGTAGGGGTTCCTTGTTATGATTATAGCATGTGGGGCCTACTAAGGCCCCTACACTAAAGCTTCGGGTTTTGGGGTGCTTGAGGCTTAAGAACCTTAGGGCTTGGGGTTTGAGGCTTGAGGTCCTACGGCTTATGGGTTGGAGCTTGGGCTCGCGGAGGTGGCGCATCACAACAAGCCCCACGACTGCTGGATCGCGATTTGTGGCGAGGTTTACGACCTGACGGACTTCCTGCAGCATCACCACGAGCAGCGCAACTCCATCCTCGCCTGGGCTGGCCGCGATGCGACGCCCATGTTCGACAAGATCCCGGGCCGGTTCCCTTCGAAGCAGTGGATGTCCGTCCACATGCGCCCGGAGTTCAAGACAGGGAAGGTCGGCCCAGAGAGGCCCGTAGACCCAGTCATCAAGCAGCTGAGGGACCTGCACGACGAGTTGCGTCGTCTTGAGGGCCCTTCCAAGGAGGACATCGAGGCGGCGAAGACGGCCATGAAGGTGCCGGGCAAGACGGATGCGCCGACCCTGTCGGAGGAGAGCCGCTTCCCGAAGTTGGCGGAGATCTCGGCTGGCAAGGACCTTCCGTTCTTCTCTCGTGCGGAGGTTGCCAAGCACAACACTGCGGAGGAGCCGTACATGATCATCCACAACCGTGTCTACAACCTCAAGCCTCTGCTGGGCAGCCACCCCGGCGGCGACGACATCCTGATGTCCAAGGCAGGCACAGACTGCACCAAGGACTTTGAGGTTTTCGAGCATTCTGAGAAGGCACGAGTGCAGAGAGACCGTGATCTGTTGGTGGGCCAGCTGGTGCCGGCAGAGAACACGGACTGGTCGGAGACGGCAGCAGTGCAGCAGGTGGTCGGTGAGGAGACCTCTGAGATTGGCCGGTACCTGAAGTACAAGATCTCGGATGTGGCAGCCGCTGCTGTTGCTTGGTACCTTTACAAGACCTTCCAGAACCGAAAGCCGCTGTCACAGTTCACCTACAGCCGGGCCCTCAGACATCTGCACCTCATCATGGCCGTGGGCATCTTCGGTGCTGTGGGCACCGCCCAGGCCGCATCCTACTCGGAGGGTCAGGCCAAGAAGCAGATGCTCTGGTGGCACAAGCAGACGGGTATCCTGATGCTGGTGGCGCTTGTCTTCCGTGTGATCTTCAGATTGCAGAGTGGCATCCCGCCGCGCTTCCCAGGTCACCCTATCGTGCAGATGATCGAGACGCAGAGCCTGCGGGCTTTCTACGCCTTCGCCCTGCTGCTGCCTGTGTCCGGCATCGCCAACGAGTACTTCCTCAAGTGGGCACCGGGCTCCGACAAGACTGGCAACGCCGAGGACGATCGCAGGAACGACCGCCTCGCCAAGCAGTCCATCGACGCCCACAAGGTGCTGGGCAAGGTGCTGCAGTACGCCTGGCTGCCCTTCCACCTGGGCTACACCACCCTCTACCACTACTCCCAGGGCCGGGGCGTCGTGCGGAAGGTCTCCCCATTCATTTGAGACCTCCTTTTATCTTCCATGTATGACCTGTAAATGAAGTCTGGCTCCAGCTGCCACTGTGCAGTGCGCCAGGGGATCTAAGCTCCCAGAATAATTTGCATGCGAGCTTTTTCAACCTGCATGCTGGTCACCTCTACATCCAGGGCGGACCTGTAGAATGAGATGCCAGCTAACATGGGTGTTGCATACATGCATCTGCCTTAGGTCAGAGCTGACGAGCTATAAAATGGTGTTGAGTGCAATCATGATACTGACGAGTCTGCTTTTTGCTTGTGCACACCCGGATTTTGAGTGCCCCTAGAAGTGCACCGGTCCAACATGCGTCCTAGAAAGGACGGTATTTGGTCGGCACAGGGGGGCACGCCAGTTGTAGGCTGAACTCCGCACAGTGAGCACTGAGTCACCTTGCAGTTGCAACAGCTGCAGAGGCAGTAGTGCTGATAGCTTAAGTACCCTCAGCCCTCGCGTCCAAAACGTCTATGTTGCTGGATAATACAAGGGCCTGAAAGAATTACCTATACTATTTTGGGGATCCTCATTATAGTCATAGTCTTAGTTATAGTATAACATACCCCAAAACCCCAGTCTAGTTATTGAGACCCTATAGTACTCTTCGCAATCCAGACTTGCTGACTCGGGAAGATGCCAAACTCTACTATGTCACTGTCGCGAAACCCATAGAAACACGACACGCATGAAGCCTTGCGCACTCGTACTAAAATAAGGTTCTTGGTTTTTTATGGTTCAGGGCTTGAAGTACAAACTCCAAACCCTCCCGAAAGCCCACCTTAAACCCAAATCCCACGCCCCGATGGCGAGCCAAACACAAACCCAGGCATACTCCAAACACCGCAAGCCCTAAGATACTCCGTGGAAAATCCTAGCTTTGAAATCCCAAACTCTAACCCTAAAGATCCCCCAAACCATCAAACAAAACCCTCCTCAAAAGCCCATAAACAAATCCTTTCAAATTCCTGACACAGTTGTTTCTAAACCCTAAACCCGAAATCCCTAAGTCCTATATACCCGAACTCGCCAGACTCTAAATATCCTTACATCCGAAACCCTAAAACCCCACGTCCTACAGACCCGAAATATCTAAACTCAAAATATCCCTAAGTCCTAAACCCTGAGACTCTAAACCCTAATCCTTAAACCCTAACTCTAAACCCTAAACTCTGGAAAGACGTCCCCCCACGCAGGTGTCTCAGATGCAAAGCTCTGCCTTAGGGCTCCCCTGGCTTCCCGACCTGCCCGCGCTGGAGCTCAGACCTTTCCTGGCTCCGAACAGAAATAGGTCAACGGTTGGCTGCTCTGAGTGCTAGTGCTGGTGCGAGTATTAGTGCCGGTGCCTGTATATGTACAGACTACGCCATGGATCTTGTATAAGATTAAACGTTAAAAATTGCACATGTGTAATATTTAACGTTTAATCTTATACAATATCCATTGCGTAGTCTGTACACATATGTATATATATATAAATAGAGTTATCTAGAGTTATGTGACATATACTATGATACACCCCTACCTTAATCTTACTGGTAAGACACCGAAAATGTGAGCATGATTCGTTCGTTTCGGTTTGTTATTGTTATCAATATTTCTGTGGTTAGTATTGTCAAATGACCATGCATGTTGTTCATGCTCTTTTTGTCAGTGTTCCTGTTCTGCTTATTACTAAGTCAACAAGATTATATAAATATTTACCGTTGTTGTCATGATGATGATGGTGATGATGATGATAATGATGATGATGACCGTGGTGATGGTGAGAGGATAATGGGTATAGTTATTGTGCACTTGGGAGTTTTAGTTGTCCATAGCTTGGGGCTTTGGGGTGTTTGCATTTTTTGACTTTTGGGTTGGGGGCTTGGCAGCATAGTCTTCCAGTTGCTTGACAGCTGGAAAGGGTTTACGGTTAGGGTTTAGGATTAAGCTTCCCGCTAATGATTCGGCGAAGCCTCACGTCACACTATGGGCGTCCAGTCCGATAGAATGAGGATCCCCAACCCCAACCATTGCGGTCTTAGCCGCCTTTCATCCCAACCCTTCCACACATTTCCGGCATGGGACGAACCTTGGCTTATCTTGGTCCCTCCATTCAAAAAACGACTGTCTTCTTGGACAGCACTCTCACAGCAGACACGTCCGCACCCGCAAGGACCCACAACCCGACTCGGTGAACCCTGAACCGTAGTTGAGAACAGTTTGAGGGTATATGTGCTGTAGGTGTTGACCCCAAATCCTTCATCCGTCAACCTAAACCCAAAGCCCTAAAATGTCCTACAGCCTTAAAGCCCATGGAGCATGCGACGCTAAGCCCTAAATCTCTGAAACCTACAGTGAAGCCTAAACGTTTTGTGCTGAAGGCAGTCAGCGCCATGTTCAATGGTGCAACCCAGGAGGACCGAGCCTGAGTTTTGAGATTGTTAGTCTTTTTCTTGCTTTCTCTTGCTACCCTATGCTTACTAGTCATGATTGACTTGGGCTTCTTATGACTTCTCGTGGTATAATCGTTGTTGAGTTGAGCTTCGGGGCATGGAGGGTTTTTTTCCCGCAAACCGGCAGGTGCTGGGTTCAGGTTCCAGCTTCGGGTTTTTACAGGTTAGGGCTTAGATTTGTAGGGTTGATGGGCTGTAGTGTTGGGGGATTTGGGATTTTGGAATTTAAGTGCGTGGGGCTTCGGGCTCAAAGATTTTAAGGTTTAGGATACAGGCCTTCAGGATGAAAGTGATTGGGATCCTTCGGAAGTCCGGCAATATGGGGAGATCGTAAACCCTAGCTGCTTGAACTTCCCGAAACCCTGAGCGGGCGGCAGGCTTGCCGCAACTGAGAGAAAAGGACTTTAAACAAGCCGTCATCAATCAGACCCCCCCACTTCTTGATACATTGTCGACATCCCAATCCTCCAAGATTTCAACCCTAAGCCCCATAGGTTACTGTAAGAATCTAAAGCAAGCCAAATAAGCTCCGTGTATGTAGGAACCAACCACTAGTATCTTGAGCACAATGACAAAATTACCCAAGGGCAGTGAAGAAGCATCCAGGTAAACTCTATCGCCCAAAATCATCAGTTTTCAAACCCAGGATCCAAGCCCAAATCCTGGACCTTGCAGAGCCACCTCAAAGAGTTATACACAAACAGTTTTGAAACAGTTTTCAGAGATTCAGAGACACAAAAGACGGACAACCTGACATCCCTTTCGAGCTAGTGCTCCTTGCACCCTCCACCTTGAAACCTAAACCCTACCCAAACGAACACCCCTCAAACCCTTAAAAGCCTAAGCCCCTAAAGCAATGAATGCCGTAAATCCACTTAAACCCCAAACCCTAAACCTAATGACCTACTTGCCCGAAATGCCCCAAGCTCTAGAAGACAAACCCTGTCGAGAGGAGCTTTTTCGGCTGGCCTCGCAGCTTGCGGAAGGCCTTGCAATCAGGGCTTAGGATTTCATTTACGGGCTTTTTGGTGTTTGTAAATCAGGGCTTCAGGGCTTTATTCAGGGTCTGTTGGGGTTTGTTTGTGGGCTGCGTTTGTGGTTAGGCTTTGCAGTGTTCGGATTTCATTTATGGCTGCATCCAAGGCTTTAGATTTTTGAAGGCATCTTTGGTCAAAAACAACAATAAAGAATACAGAAAGGTATAGGTCTGAATAGACAGTCAACAACACCTCCTTATCGTCCCTAGTTGTTTTAACATACCCGAACGCATTATTCTCATCACTAGGGCTTCTGCAGTAATAGAATAGAATAGCATAGTTAGTATTGTGAGGATTGGGGGGGGCGGCTGCCTGAGATCATGGGCTGACGGAGTTACTGTTTAATCGAAGCCTTTTATAAATGCCAAAAGCCTAAAAACCTGATTGAGTACCTGGAGTCTTTGCACAGAGCCTTAACCCTGCAAAGATACCGCTCGTGGCAGGTGCCCCGTTGGAGGTGTCGCAGGAGCTGATCGAATCCCCCTTGAGATCTCGAGTTTGTTCGTGTGTTAGGGTTCGGGGGGAGGGGGGGGGCGGTTTTAAACCAGCGTCAGGGTTCCGAAGCTCCCATCGGCATGTGACAAGTCCCAATCCAATGCGAATGGGATGTGGAAGTTCTACTTGAAGGCCGTGCACCCTCAGCACGGGGTGTTCCTTTGGAACCAGATTCCGCTTGTGTCAAACATCTTGGCCAAGGGGGTTGTGAAACAACTGGGTTCCCAGGGCTACGCTCTCTCTCCAGTGCAGCCCCCGTATTCGCTGTGACGACCTCCATCAGCTTGTCCTTTGCATCGAAAGCAATGCGACACTGGTGGGTCCGAAACCGATCGACGGACTTCAACTTTTTAGCATCAGGAACCCTAAACCCCTGGGGAGCTGGACAGTGCAAAGGTCCCTTTTTGTGTCCTTAGTAAAATACGGCACCTAATATTTAGGATACCCCGAAAGGGCCATAATTTTGACAACTACCCATATGTGGTCAGAGACAGAGCCCAACTGCCTACGGCCAGTTCTGGGTGTGTTGCGTGAACATACAGCAGAAGCCTGAATCATTGCCAACATGGGAGCTTCCGAAAATAGGGGACCCTAATACAGTAACCTAAATAGTAGGATCCTTATTATAAGGACTCCAAAATAAGGTACCCCTAATTTCGGAAACTCCCATATTCCTCCTGAGGATTCCAAATCTATCCCAAAGCCCTAATCTATGTATTCAGGCTTTTACAGAAACTCGTTATCAGTGCTCGGGTCTTTGGGACCCCTGCCCACCTCCTGGGCCAGGCTTGCACAGTAGCTTCAAACGATGGTGTGCACCGAGGGGCGGAGTTCTGTTCCAGGCATGTTGTATCCGAGTGAGCATTGCAAGCAATTTAGGTTTTGTAGGGCTTATGGACCATAGGCGCCCAAGCCAAAAAAGGAACGCCGGGCTTGACTTGGCCCTTAAGCCAATCAACCTTATTCTCCGAATGGTAGAGACTTTCCCTCCACCGCAAACCCAATCCGGCCCTACGAAAGCTTTGCCGTGCACTAACTAGGAAACCTTGCAGCCAAAAGCACAAAAAGCGCAAGCCCAGAAACGACGGAGATGGTCGCGTAACACCATGAGCCCTGACCTAAAGCCCCCAAAGGAGGTAAAATAATGACCCAGTACCCATAAAAGGCTATTATTCTCCATACTTTTGGGGTCCAGGGAAGTTTACACTCCTCTAGGAGAAGTTGCTGTCGCCCTTCTCTGTCGTCTCCCTTGTGGGCCATGGCGAAGATGGGAAGGCAAGGGGTGCTCGAGGCTTTAGGGTTTAGGCTTTGGGCTGTAATCAACTTTAATGTATAATGATAGGCTCTGGGGTGTAACCAACTTTAACCTGTAAGGATAGGGTTTAGGGTTCGTGTCTTTATTGTTTCGTGGCTTTCCTGCTGCTCCTGAACATGTTCCTCTATCACTTGATGCACTTCGGGCTGGCTTTCTGTGTTCTCTCGTTTCGGGAGCTTTGGCAGGTTTGCCTTGCCTCGGTTGTAACCCCTCGTTTTCGCCACTACACTTTGCACTTCGAAGCACTAGGCCCCAAAGCGACTCTGAGCCCTAAGTTACTAGCAACTTCATGACGTGAGTCAGTCGGCTGTGATAGGCGGGAGATACAAGTAGCTTGGAGCAGGATTCCGAGGAACTGGTGGAGAGACCTAAGGGGGTGCTGTGGAGCCGGCTTCACTTCGTATCTCCCATTCTGAGATGAGCTCGCGCTGAGACCACGAGTTTTCCGAGCTCGAAAAGTAGCGCAGGGTTTTCTCAAAACTTACCTTTGGTTAGTAGGGAATGGAGGAATGGGGTACAATTATAACTACTATTACTACCATTCTTCCATTCCCTACTGACCAAAGGTAAGAAAAACGGAGCCCCGACATCTCGGTGTGGGGCCTCGGGGCGTTGGGCAGAGCAAAGGGCTTGAGTCGATTTACATTTTGGCGCTTCGGGCTCGGAGTTCCTCCCGGACTTTCGGGGTTGAAGTGTTTTGTTTAAGGGCTTTAGGGTTCAGGGTTTAGGGTTTAGGGTTCAGGGTTCAGGGTTTAGGGGATGTTCTGCGTCCAAGCTGTTTCGCGCTAGAAGAGAGACTGAGATCGGAGTTCAGGTCTACGTCCTGGCAGGCGCACGAAATTGGAAGGGCTGGCTCCACTTCACAGCCTTAGGCCTGAGGCCCTGTATCCTAAACTTAGGGGTTCTAAGTTCAGTATCCTAAATCCCAGGAGGTTATCACAAGACATTGTGACTATAAAGGTTACTAGAGGGTTATCAGAAGCTTTCTGTATGGCATCCACATGTAAGGCTAGATCCGAGGTCGCAAAACCCCGAAAGACGAGGACCTGCCCCTCTGACCCACGGATGCAAGAATCTTCTACCACTCGGCCCTATACCTATAGGAGACCCACAGGCCTTAAAGCCCCGATGCCCCAAATAAAAGCAAACTTAAGCTACGAAGCTGCACCCTAAAGCAGTTGAGTTAAAACCCTACCAAAAAACAAAGTTCAGCGACACAGAACCATATACCCTACACCTTCCCTACAGTCTAAGGCTCTTTTTGAGCGAGTTCCAGGGACCCTTAAGAGTCTGTATAGGTAGGGGCCCATGGTTTCAACCGTTGGTCAAGTGCAGGCCCTCTGGGAGGCTGAATCTATGTCCGTTCACGGGTATTTCGGGCCTTTGGCCTTCGCCTCAGCAGGAGGGTTCAGTCCCACCGGGATGTTAGGGTTTAGGGTTTAGTCGCTTAGGGTTTAGGGTCTAGTAATTTAGGGTTTAGGCTTTGGGTTCGAAGGGAGTCGAGATTATTCTAAGGGCTGGGGACTGTAGAGATTTTGGGTCTAGGGCCTTATAGTTGGGGCTCAATATGTGGAGCTTTGGAGTTTGGGTGTGCTGAGAAGCTCCGGGGACCCCATTAACACTAGATTTGCGTGCATGCGAAGCACTTCAGAGCTTCCAAACACAGCAAAAAAAGCGGCTTATGCCAGAGAAATTTTGATTTTTGAAACAGATCACCAGCGGTGCAAATCATGGTTGGCTCATACATGCTCTGCGGAACAGATGCAAATAAAGCTTGTCATGCAAGGCGGATTTCCTGGGGGCCTAACGGCTGGCTCGATCGCTAAACCCCCTAAAACCCTAAACCCCAAAACCCCACACCTTAGAACCTGAACTCCGTTCTCAAAGCAACTTCAATCGAGGTTGCTCAGCTGTCCAATCTCCTCACCAGCCCTCCGTTTGCCCCGTCCCCAGAGCTTTAGCGGCCGGTCATCATTTGGGTAGTTGTCAAAATTAGGGTCCCTTTTTGGGGACCCTAAATTAAAGGTGCCGTACGATAATAAGGACCCACACAAGGGACCCAAATGTTGACAACCACCCATTTAGGGGGTTAGGGATCAGGTTTTTGGGCTTTTTCGGCCGAGGGTGCGGGAGCCAACGCCCCTATGCCCTCAAGCTACAACTCCATAAGTCGGTAAACTCCATAAGTCGGTAGACTCCATAAGTCGGTAAACTGACTGACTAAAGCCTATGCATATAACACACTACGTCACGAAGCCCCATACATCAAGCCCGTACCCGACCCATAAGAATGCTTAGGAGAAACCCGAAGCCAAAAACGAGCAAAAGCCTGTTCTACATCCCTAAAGCTCCAGTTACCGAAATAGTAGGTTGAAATGGGGTACATACTAGATGATTATAGTAACCTACTATTTCGGTATCTGGAGCCCTAGGGTATTGCATACTACATACATGTTTCAAAGCCAGCGGTTTCGGGAGACGTGAGCCTGTCAGAAGGCATCCCCCGGGCTAGGGTATCTTGTTTCGTTTTAGGGCACCTAAGCCGTCAATTCCCAAAGCCGTACCTGGACCCCCAAAAGTAAGTAGATTCTATGGGTGCTGGGCCATTATTTTACCTACTTTGGGGGGGGTTTAGGTAAACCCTGAAACCCCAAGTCCTAAACCCTAAACCCTAAACCCCTGAATTCCCAAGAAAACTCAGGAGGCCCTTGGTGCTGGGAGCTTGGGCCAGGCGCTTGCCGATTTAGGAGCAGGCTCACCAGCCTGCTGCTCCGGGTCCATACGGTCTTGCATACATTCATCCATACATACGTACACTCATCAGTACTCTCATTTCATTTCAGTTCAGCTCATTTCATTTTCATGTTCGTTTTCATTTCGCTCATTTCATGTCATTTCAATTTCATGTTTATGTTCATTCAATTTAATTCCTTCGTTCGTTCATTCGTTCATGCATTCGCTCATTCACTGGTACTGCATTGTGACAGTCAAGGCATTCCCTTCACTCATTGCCTTCATTCATTCCATGCATTCAGTCTATGCATTCATTCCATGCATGAATTGCATTCCACGCTTTCCTTGATTGATTGATTGATTGATTGATTGATTGATTGATTGATTGTTTGATTGTTTGATTGATTGATTGATTGATTGATTGATTGATTGATTGATTGATTGATTGATTCAATCATTCATTTACTATTTTTTTTTCGTTGTTTTCTTTTGTTCTTGATTTTTCCTTCCTTCTTTTTGAGTTCATTCATTCGTTCGTTCATTCATTCACTTACACAGACACAGACACACACACACACACACATTCACTGACTCACTCACTCACTCATTCATGCATTGATTCATTCATTCACTCATTCATTCATTCATAGTGTGTCGCCACACCATGGACAGGTATGT